AAACTATCTTCTCCTGGCTTACTGCTTCCCTTTGTCTATTGTTATACAAAAATAAGAGGGCAATTCATAACTAGTCCTTACTCTTTGCATATTCATTCAAGGCTAATTGTTTTTCCAAGTGGTTTTATAAACAAAGGGCCCTCCAATGGAAGCTACTTGCCCAATTCTTTGATATCATGGCCTACACGCATGCACATTATTTCAACAAATATGGTTGCGGTGACAAAGAAAAGTAGTTTTACTATTTCAAACCTTAAACTATGCCTTCACAAATTTATTCGGAACCAAAGAACCAAACCAAAAAAAACGAGATTCAGTTTATAAATATGAACTATATTTAGTTTTAAAATAATAAAAAAATTAAAATATTATTTATAAACTCAATTAAATATCCAAAAATGAATTAACATAATATTTTTATCTGTAATATTTAAAATTATCTTAACCATCCAAATTTTTATCCGAATATCCGTTAAAATTAAAATTTAGTCCTAACCCCCCCCCCCACCCACACATTTTATTACATTTTAACCCCAAATTACCGAAAAAGAAGAACCAAACCAGAACCAGACGATCCAAAATTACCTAATATATTTGCTAGTTCGCAAATTTGTTACCCAAACCGAACCAAAAACTAAAATAACCAATTTGAAACCGAACTTAATTTCCAAATACTTGAACGAATCATAAACCACTAGAACTGAAAGAATCAAACCGGAACCGAACCGAGAACCAAATGCCAGAGCACCTAAAACATTTACTAGTGCTTAATTTCTGCAACTTTACATATTAACATGTGGATTTCTACTAAGGTGATGATTGTTTGAATTAGTTTTTGGTTTTAGTTTTTGTTTTTAGATTTTGGTTTTAGATTTCTAATTTTTAAGTTTTAGGTTTTGTTTTTCAGTTTTTGGTTTTGGTTTTAGTTTTTAGTTTTTAGATTTTGGTTTTTCTGTAGTTTTTAGTTTTTCAAAAAAAAAAAAATCAATGCTTATTTAAAATAATAACACAAAACAGCAATAAAAATTTAGAAATATCCATTAAATTTATAAAATATATAACGATAGTTGTTTAAAATAAAAATATAGGAACCTGTTTTTCAATTAATTTAATTTAAAGTGTCATACTAAAATATAAATCAGAAAATATCTACAACTTACAAAAATTAAAATACTTACAATTTAAAAAGAATTATATAATTTCGTATATATAATATATTTATTTTAACACTTGAATCGTTATTTTCAAAATTTATATAATAATATTTTTTTTATGTTTTTATAACTTTTAGTGTGTCTAATAATTTTTAAAATTATTCAATAATTTATGTATATATATTAATAACTAATGGTGAACAACTAATATATATTACAAACTTTATTTACAGATAAACACAAAATAAATTGTTTTACATTTTTGTTTAAATGATATCTTATCTACAAATATTTCTATGCAAAAATTCTCTTTATGAAATATTATTTATTTACTTATTAATTAAATAAACATAGTATTTAACTATTTTCTATAAAAACTAAATAAAATTCGTTTTTTTATTAAAAGCTCACAAAAGTTGATTTTTGGTTTTTCTTCGTAAATTGGTTAAAATTTTGAATAACTAGTTTCCCTAAAATTTATGGAATCTGTTTTTAAAAAATCTTGATTGGCAAATCAAATATTTTTTTACAAAAACTACAACTAAAAACCAAAACTTGATTGGATAAAAAAATGGTTTATACGAAAAAAAAAATTCAAAAACTAAAGCAAAAAAAACAGAAACAATCATCACCTAAATTTAAAAAATCGACAATTACCGATGGATTTATGACGGAACCCAATTTACAGTTTTTATAATATAACGGTTTAGAGATTTATGGTCTTCAAAAAACATTATTGGTTCATATAAAAAGTGTAAGAACAACGTTGAGCATAACAGATGTTCAATATTTTAAAATAATGACACCACCTTAAGGTAATTGGATGAATCATAAATTTCTAGTTAACATTAGGCCTGATTGCTTGGTTGCCGCGAGTCCTGCGTCTGCGACTGTGCCTAAGTTTTCCGTGAACTCTTGTTCGTTTCGTTGACGCGGAGGACCGGCGGCTGCGGCTAGACGCGACATCTGCGTCTGACGCAGATAAAACCCAGCATTTTTCTGATAATTCCTGCGTCTACTTAACCTTATTACTATTCTACCTTTAACCTAATTCATTATTCACTAAAATACCTAAGTTTATTAGCCGCAGACGCAGCTCTCTTCTCCGTTTGACGCATCTCCAGTAAACCTCCGACGCAGACCTTGAATCTCTCTCTCTCGATCTCCGACGCATCTCCAGCTATCTCTCTCTCTCGGTCCGACGCATCTCCAGCTCTCTCTCGGTCCGACGCACTCTCTCCTCCAACGTATCTCTCTCTCGATCTCCGAGTGCTCTTCTGAAGTTTGCAAATGATACACTACAACCACAGGAAGGTGAATTTTCAAGAGTAAATCATGTTTTGAGGAATGATGATCGGTACTGGCCTTATTTCAGAGATTGTATTGGAGCACTTGATGGAACTCATGTCCCGGTTCGTCCTCCAAGTGAAAATGCAGAAGCATTCAGAGGCAGAAAGCAAGATCCTACAATGAATGTTCTTGCTCTATGTAACTTCGACATGAAGTTCATATATGCTTATCTTGGTGTACCTGGTAGAGCACATGATACAAAGGTGTTGACTCATTGTGCGAAGAATGATGCTTCTTTCCCACATCCTCCTCATGGAAAGTATTATCTAGTTGACTCCGAATATCCGACCAGGACAGAATATCTTGGTCCGCATCCTAGTATGAGATACCATCTTGGTTAGTTTGCTAGAGGAGGACCACCAGTTAGTGCAAGAGAGTTGTTCAACCAGAAGCATTCAGGTTTACGATCAGTGATTGAGAGGACATTTGGAGTATGGAAAGCAAAATGGAGGTGTTTGGATCATAAACATCCAAAGTATGGTCTGGTCAAATGGATTAAGCTGGTAACAGCGACGATGGCACTACACAACTTCATACGTGATTCACATCGGGAAGATCGTGATTTTGTACAATGGCAAAGTGTTGATGATGGAGAAAGAGAAGAAGCTGATGGTAATAATGAAGAACAAGGAGAAGCTAGTACTTCATATGAGCCGACTCGTGATGGAGTGATGGAAGAAATGTGTAAGAACATCACAAATGAATGTGGTAGAGGTCGTTTACCATATTAAATATTATTGTTAAAGACTCGGTTTAAGACTTTGTTTTATTTATTTAAGACTTGATGTATTATTTAGATTTTTTTTTGTGTTAAATACTTTGATATATTATTTGTAGTTTAAGACTTTGTGGTTTAAAACTTTATTTTATTTATAATATTTATGATAAAAATGTTGTTAAATTAGTATATTTGCCTAAATATTATTACCAATTAAATAAAATATTTTGCTGGATGTAAAATATATTTAAATAGCATTTTATTTATTTAAAATACAATTTTACAAATTTTCAAAATTAAAATATGAATTAAATGAAATACAAACATCATGCGGCTGCGTCTGCCAAACGAACAGCATAAATCATTTTCATGCGTCTGCGTCAATGTCTTGCGTCTGGAACGAACAAAACTCTGCGGCTACGGCTGCGTCTACAAAACGAATAACAAACAAATGAACAGACGCAACCGTAGCCGCAGACTCAGCCACAACCACAGCCGCAGAAACCTGCGGCAACCAAACGAACATGGCTATTATGTATTATTATATATATAGAAGTGTTTAAAAGAATTCATAGACATTTTTTTTTTTGAAAATTGGTTTTAAGTGTTTTTGATAGTGTGTAAGTATTAATAACTTTTCTCTATTGTATGTATAACTAGTTAGTTACTCCTTCAAAATTAGATCTTGGATCTATTATTATAACAAATATTAACCACAAGACACTGAATTTATGTATCACATCTCATGTAATGGGACATAACAAAACTTAAGACATAAAACTCTCTTCGTATAGCCAATTTATCATCATGTAATTAGCAACTCTATGTTACCAAAACGACACAATATTGATATATACCAAGACTATTGATATGATGAAAGTCCATCTTCTCAGATGTTGTTACCGTTCTCCATACACGGTGAAAATATTGAATTTAGTTTTTGATATTTGGTTCTATAGCTACAGTTTTGGTTTTAGATAAAACAGATGTAGTTGGTTTCTTAGATTATCTAGAGCTGCTAGTTTGACAAACCTATCTAAACCATATTTGTTGTTACTATAAATATTTTCTTAAGCCATTATAAAACAAAGTAAAAACGTAAAATGAAAGAGAGATAATGCAATTAACAAGTGATTTTCTTGAAAAAGTAACTATATAAATATAATTAGATTTATTTTGTTTCAAAGAAAAAAAGTCGTTCAAAACTTAGATATTTCTAAAAGAAGAAGTAACTATGTAAAAGTAATTAGGTTTTTCAATTTTAAAGTGAGAAAGTAGTTCAAAACTCAGATATTTCAAAATAAAAAGAAGTTATGATCTATCATTTCAATTATTTCAATCTCTAATTTTGAAAAAAAAATGTCTATTTTAAATCTTAACTTTTGTTAATGAAGTCATTTTTGATATACGTAAAATTGACCGTTAAATCGATTTTATGTTGGCTTTCACTTATTATCTATAATATTTTGGTCAATAAAATTGAGGTTTAAAATAGACAATTTTAAAAAGTTAGAAAGTAAAGTTAAATTGAAACTGAAAGTTATTTTGGGTTTTTGTATAAGTTGAGAAATTTTTGATAGTTTTCTTAAAATATAGAATAACGCAATCAACAACTATTATTTTTTCTTTATTCTTTTCCTAGTTATTCTATTGTTTTTCAGATTTTGTTCCTTAAAAACACTAATTATCTATTGACCAGAAAATTATCATAAATCTTTAACTATTTATTAGGACCAGAAGCAACCCGTTGACCAGCTCCAAAAATCTCACAGTATCGTAACAAACCGGTTTTAGTTTCCGGTTTACTCAGCTAAAGCGCAATTAAAATCCTCTCTTCTTCTTCTTGCACTCGCCGAAATTGTGATTTGTGATCTAAGAAAGGAAGATGGAGAGCATCAGACAATCTAGCAAGAACTCGAAGAAGACACACGTCTTCTTATTGGTTGCCCTGATACTATTGAGCTCGATCGAGCGAATCTCTTCGCTCTCTGTGACGGTTAGCAACGATGAATGCGTCCAAGAGTATGTCCTTTACGAAGGAGACACCGTCTCCGGAAACTTCGTCGTCGTAGACCACGAAATCTTCTGGGGACCAGACCATCCCGGTTTGGATTTCACGGTAATAGAGATCTTGATTGCTTGATACGAATTTTCCGACAGGCTTTGGTTTTCTGTCGTGTTCTTAAATTTTGTGTCTGTTTTTTTTTTTAAGATTCGAATCGAAAGTTTGAGACTTTACCATTTTGGTTGTTTGTGTAGGTGACGTCACCTTCTGGGAACATTGTACAGACGTTAAAGGGGACATCAGGAGATAAGTTTGAGTTTAAGGCACCGAAAAGTGGAATGTACAAGTTTTGTTTCCATAATCCTTACTCTGCTCCCGAGACTGTCTCCTTCTATATTCACGTTGGTCATATCCCCAACGAGCATGACTTAGCCAAAGACGGTTTGTTTTGTTACCATTCATCCCTATATTGAGAGATATTCTGCGTTGCTTCTTTTGGCTTTGTGTGGATTCTCTATCAACTTGTTTGATGCTGTGTTTCTCTCCTTTTTTCATTGTATGCTTCACAGAACATTTGGACCCGGTGAATGTTAAGATAGCTGAGCTGAGAGAGGCTTTGGAGTCCGTTGTTACTGAGCAAAAGTATCTGAAAGCACGTGATACCCGTCACCGTCATAGTGAGTTTTCTTCTCCATTACATCTTTCCCGTGATATGAAGAACTTTTTCAGATGCAACACAAATTGTATCTATGTTTTACACCCAAGATATATGTTTTTTTTTGTCATAGACTTGAATGCGCTCTTAGGAACCACAAAAATGCAAGCTTTATTAAGATATAGAACATTATTTTGTTGTGTGATTGATTTTGTGTGTGTTTTTGGTGCAGCAAATGAGAGCACGAGAAAGCGAGTGATATTCTACACAGTAGCAGAGTACATCTTTCTGGCAGCAGCAAGTGGTCTTCAGGTTCTCTACATCCGCAAGCTCTTCAGCAAGTCTGTTGCATACAACAGGGTTTGAACATGTTAGAACTGATGAATACATAAGTGGTAGTTAATTAAGAACTTAATAGCTAAGGACCCCTTTTTTTTTGTTTTCGGTTTCTACAGTTTTTCATTGACTTCATTTTTGCTCATGTTTTATTAACATGGAGAACTTGATAAATCTTATATTCTGATTCATTAATCTTACCTCCTCCCGGACTATCTATCATATGATCTTCATGTACCAATTAGATAGAGTGTAGGCTGAATTCTATTGGATTAAGAGATTACATAATAAATAGTGTTTACATTAGCTAATCAAATCACATCCTCTGTACATCATACACATGTTTTTAGCATTAAACCCGTTTTAGTAAACAGGCAGAACAAGATAAGATTGTCCTAAAGCAAATACATCTCTTGTTTTGAGAGAAAAGCTCATAATAAATAAAAAATGGTTACTCTGTGTTTTGGGTTTTATTATCTTGAAGAGGAAGGAGCTAGCATTAACGTGCAAAGAGATAATCATTGAACCACAAAAATAAAACGTGTTTAAATGAAACAATAAATTCTTGAAACGTGGAGGAAAAGAACCGAATATTTCTATATTCCATTTCAAGAAACGATAGCCCCCTATAAGAAAATGCCCATTCAACTATCGTAAAAGTCACTTTCTCTACTTTTGATATCTTTCGCTCTGTTTCACTGTTTGTGTGATCAAGAAAGAAAATGTTGGCTATTTTCGACAAGAACGTGGCGAAAGCCCCAGAGGCTCTACAGAGTCAGGAAGGTGGATCTGTTTGTGCTCTTAAAGATGGCTTCTTACCAAACCACTTCGCTTCCATCTACCCTGGTGCCGTCACCACCAATCTCGGATCTTCTGGTCTCATCGCTTGCTCCCTCAACAAGCAGAACCCTCTTCTTCCCAGGTTCTTGCATCATTTTCCTACAAAACATTGGATCTTTTTTCCACGCTGATATGATCAGTGGGCCAAAATTCATGGATTTGGTTTTCTTTTTGTAATAAATGTCTAAACATGATTAAGCTATTATCTGAACATGACTAGATGTTTAACTGCCTGCAAGAAAGATATATAGGATCTTGTTGTACTTTCTGTTTGGTTCACTGAGAGATCAGAGTCAATGATCTAATCTATTGTTTCATCCTGGTTCTTGATGGGAGAATGATATATCCTTCTTGTCCATGTATCTTTGTCATGTTGACACCTTTTGCAATAACTTGTTGATTTCAAAGTGGCTTTTTGTGTGATAGATTGTTTGCTGTGAATGATGATATGTTCTGCATCTTCCAAGGACACATAGAGAACATTCCATTTCTTAAGCAACAATATGGACTAACAAAGACAGCAACAGAGGTCACCGTTGTGATCGAAGCTTACAGAACCCTCAGAGACCGTGGTCCTTATCCTGCCGACCAAGTTGTTAGAGATTTTCAAGGGAGGTTCGCGTTTATGCTCTTTGACTGCACCACAAAGAATGTCTTCCTTGCTGGGGACGCAGATGGTAGCGTTCCTCTCTTCTGGGGAACTGATGCTGAGGGCCATCTCGTTCTTTCTGATGATGTTGAAACCGTGAAGAAAGGTTGTGGTAAATCCTTTGCGCCATTCCCTAAAGGTAACGCAGAAAACTAGTTTTTGATTTTTACGAAGATGTATAATACTTGGATCACAAGTGGTTGAATACTTCTATATGTAGGGTGTTTCTTTACGTCTTCTGGAGGCTTGAGGAGCTTTGAATATCCGTTGAACGAGTTAAAGCCTGTACCAAGGGTGGACAGTTCGGGTCAGGTGTGCGGTGTGACTTTCAAGGTGGATTCTGAGGCCAAGAAAGAAGGCGCAATGCCTAGAGTTGGTAGCGTCCAGAATTGGTCTCAGCAAATCTGAGAGGCTAAAATGTGATTTTTAGCTGAGTTTTCTTTTCCTGTTGGACTCTGTGGCTCTGTTCCACAGATTTAAAGTTTCATCGTATTCTAAGAATTAAAATCTATATGGCTCTGCTATTACTCTGCTGTACTTGGTGACATGAAGCTACGAATAAAAAACTTTATAAACTTCTGATGAAGTGGATACGGGTAAAATAGTTGAAATAAGCCTCTGTGATGGCTAATTATAAAAACGTATGAGTGCATGCATATGATGTAACATCAGTCAACGAGTAAGATGACTACCCAAGTAAAGTCTCTGTGGGTAAAATATGGCTACGCATAGTAATAGAATAAAAGCAGGCATGATACTTAAAAAGACATGAAGAGCTCTCCTCTAAGCTCTAGTCCTTCGCATCTGCAACGCCTCCTGCAGTAATCTGAAAGACGTGCTTCTTCTGTTAAGGTGAAAAACAAGAGTCATGAATTGTGGATGACTGAATAATCGAACCCAAAAAACTGACGTTTTTTAAAGATTTTAAATATGTTAAAAAGGATATTGCTTCGGCTTCAGGCAGATTTGGTGCGTCAAAGACTTTGCAGACACGTTGCTCTCCTTTGCCTTTCCTGAAACTGAGCCTGATGGTTACCGCGTGAGCCAGAACATGACCACCTGCTGGCTTCTTTGGATCTGATATGAACATTCCACCGCCTGGGTCCGATATCACTGCAACCACCAGATGCTAAAAGTTAGAGCAACCGAGAAAACTCAAAAGATATATATCAGTTCTATCATGTCACATTAGTTTCTTTCTAGTAAAAAGCAAACCTTGGTTAGTCATGTACACAGCAACATTGAATTCCTCTGCGATTTTGATTATCCTGGAGAGCATTTGTGCTAATTTTTGCTGCAACACAGAAACTGGCCCTTTTTAGCAAAGCAATATCTTAAATTATGTTAGTAAGCGTATGGAAAGCAAAAACGTAACCTGACGGTCTGCGAGTTCCCCTCTTCCAGTGAAATCAACTCGGAATAAAGCAATGATCGAGTCAATAATCTGGAAAAAAATGGTAAGGTCAGCTAATATTCACGTTGAGTTTTGTCAACTAGAAACTAACAATGAAATAAGCAGACATGTTTTTTGTTTTGTTACCAGAATCTTAAATGGTTCCTCAGACATTTTTGCAGCAAGGCCAAGAAGCAAGTTGTACTGATGCTCATAGGTGTAAGCACGAGCATAAATGATCTGTCAACATCGAGATGGAAAGAATTGTGAGCATCATTTGCAGTCCTAGGAGATAGGATGCGAGCTTAATAATGCTTACATTGTCAAGCACAGCTCCTGGATCCATTCCAAATCTTTCAGCAATTGGGACAATTCTATCAGGGCGGCTACAAATTTCAGGGTTAAGAAAAATCATGGTATACAAACAACCCAACGAAGCTACAAGAACTGGACTGTAAGATTTTTCTTTAAGATGTTAAGGATACAAGGTTCCTTCAGTGTCGATGTAAGCCACTTTTCCATTCCCTCCTTTCATGTTTGTAGGTAGCTGCATAACATCAATACATACAGAAAAAGAGTACCAACGGCAGTGAGATACAGAGACATCAAACGGTTCTAACTTATATGCTAAGCGAAACCAAGAATCTCATCACATGCATTTGGCAGTTAAATGAAAGCACCATAACAGTTAAGTCATATTGAGACTTTAGGAAAGAAACCAACCTGCGTAGTGACACAAAGGGTATGTGCTAACTGAGTTTTCCCAGACCTGAAGTGAAATCAAACATTCAATTAGAATATACGCTATTGTCAGGAAACTTAAAAGAGCTTAGCTCTGCTTCTCACCTGAATTCCCCAAAAGCCTCTGTGATGGCTGAGGTTTCAATTCCACCTGCCAAGTATTGGGATTAATATAAACCATAACTCTCAAGTAGTGTGATAAGATTGACAAACAGTAAAGCAACACTTAGTATACCTCCTAAGAGATCGTCAAGAGCTTGGCAGCCTGTAGTGATACGCACAACTGATTTTCTCTGTAAACAAAAACAAGGCTTCAGTATCCACTATGAAATTCTGAATAAGCCACCAATAGTCTCACGGATATGTCGATGAGACTAACCTTTAGAAGAGCATCACTTCCAGTCATATATCCAAAGTTCTGGAGGAAAAATGTTGTCAACAATTTAAAGAAATGAAGCAAATGCAGGAAAGCTTTAAGATGAGACTTTGATTGTAGCAACAAGAGCTAACCACTATCTTCTCAGCTGCTTCACAGATTTTATCAACTTTGGCCTCTGATAAACCTTTGATTCCAGTGAGGTTCTGCGTCAATTACAACAACAGTTTCATCCAATCAAAATCTAGATACTGTAAACCCAATGAAACGACACTACAGAAAACCTTTGATTCCGCTGAGGTCATGTGTCAATCAAAACAACAGATCCGTCTCCAACCAAAATCTAAACCCAAAGAACGATGCTAAACAAGTAGTATCAGATGTGTGTTTCTATATACCTTCTTGGTATGCATCATCAGACCATTACAGGTATGGATCCCAGCATCTTGCAGCTTCTTCACATCTCCAGCGTTTATACCTTGAGCGACCACTGTCACAAGGATATAGAAACACGATCGGTACCAAATAGTATATTAAATCGGTTTAGATTCGCAATCAAGTAAATCTATGCTCAGGAGAAGTCGATAAGTATCCTAGATTCATTACTAGAATCGAAATCAAGTAGAGATTCGAGAATCTAAAGCAAACTAGAGGAACGATTCTAGATCTGGTTCATAAGACATGGAAGAGATAACGAGCATAAATCGAAGATCCTAGAAACAGTACAACCACACTGGCGAAATCTGGAAGCGAGAATTGATTTTCGAAATCTTACGTTTATCGATCGCTTCGAACAGATCGTCATCGTCGTCGATTTCTTCTCGCTCAACGAGCTGCATCTGGCTCGTTTCTTCGGATCTACAATTCATCGAGAAAACGAGATTCAGAGTTTCCGATGCATGAAACGAAATAGAAACGCGAAATCAAAATGAAGAAAGGAGGAAGAAAGGATCGATCACTTACTTGAGAGCAGAAAGCATTTTTCGCTGTGGAGATTCAAAGCTTGAAACGAGAGAGTGGGATTTGAGATTATGACTGGATTTGCTTAGGGTTTTATATGGCGGGAGTCGGAACTGAATCGCCTTTCAGAACGACGTTGAGTTTTCAAAATTATTTGAAATCCGCATTCTGTTAACGGGCACTGTTGTACTAACTTGGACGGTTTAGATCATGCCACGTTGGAGTAACTAACAACTTTTATCGACGGTCAGAGATTAAAGCTTGTTGAAAATATCTGCCACCTGAAAATATCTACCACCTATGCGCTTTGATATCTTTTTAACAACTCCACTTCTAGGCCCGATTTAAAATTAGTACTTTTAGGCCTTAAGGATTTTAAAAATTATTGGGCCTTTTTATTTACCCAAGTAAATTATTCTTTTTTGCCATTTTCTCATGAATATGTTTTTTCGTATCTTGCTTCATATAATTCCAAAAGGGATCCCATCCAAAACTAAAGTGAAATTGTAAATATTCAGGATACTATATTTTATAGTTTGGAAGACAAATATCGATGAACAAAACTTATATTTACATCCTAGGATGAATCTTTAAATTTACATCACCTATAACAGTTAATTATAATGCCACCAATATTAATAAATAAAAAATATTAAATATTTTTTTAAAAACCAAAATAGTTAAAAAAATAATAATAATATCAATTTTAACGACGATAAGACTGCCAACTAAATCTTAAATCCAAACCGTAACCCTAAACCAAAGCTCTATACCTTAAACCTAAACCCTATACAATAAAACCAAAACATAAACACTAAACCTGAACTCTATACTATAAATCTAAACCATATATCCTAAATTTTAAACTCTAAACCATATTGACCGGAAAAAAAACTCTAAACCATATATCGTAAACCCAAACCTAAGAGCAATATTATTGGGGGATTATAATCTTGGGGTTCTAAAAATATGTATGTGTATATGTATATATTATATATGTGTATGTAATTGTGGGTTTCTAGCTTTATGGGAAACTCAACCGAAAGTTTCTTATATAATATATACATATACACATACATATTTTTAGAACCCCAAGATTAAAATCCCCCAATAATGTTGCTCTTAGACCCTAAACTCTATGATTGGACGTTTGTGTGAATAAGACATTGACAGTGATGAGTTCCGGAGCCTTCAAAGAAAGCTAGAGAGAGAGAGAGAGAGAGAGAGAGAGAGAGAGAGAGAGAGAGAGAGAGAGAGAACCATAGGGGGTGATTGGTAGAGCATTAGCATAAGCATTATGCTCTCTATTATCCAATCAACATTTGGCAAACAAGCATTTAGAAAAGCATTTATCAAATGCAAATGCTCTCCAAATGCTATTTGCTCAATGCTCTCATATAGAGCTTTTGGAAGAGCTTTTGGAAGAGCATTTGCATATAGAAAATATAAAACTTAATAATATTTATATATAATTTATTTATTTTTGTTTAAAAATATAAATAATATTTTTATAATTAAATATAAATTTATATATTTAAAAAATAAAAATTAGAATTATAATTTTTTTTAAAAAGAACAATATTACACATTTAAGATATAATATAATTTATATAATTACATATATCATTCATTATTTTTAATAACAAACATAACATAATATAATTTATATATTATCGATATAAACATATTATTTAGACACTAATAAATAAATTATATATTAACTTTTATGATAATTTTATATATGAGTAATTTAGTGCTCTACCAATAAATAAATAATAATAATTATTTAATAATTATTAGAATTTAATAATAATTAATTAAATTATAACTATAATTTTATATATTAGTAATATGTTATATCCAAAAATAATTTAATATTTTTAAAAAACTTTAAATTTTAAATATAACTATATAATGAAAATTCATTATTTTTAATAAAATTATACATTATAAATATATATTATATATATTATTTTAAAGTAATGTATTATTTTACTAACTATTATGACAATTTTAAAATTGCATACTGCTAATGCTCTCTCAATCACTTTTTTAAAAATTTTAATGAAAGCATACAGTTTTTGTAGCATACTGCTTCTGCAGCATACTGCTACTGCTTTATCATCTGCTGTACCAATCAAGGCCATAGTTGAAGAGAAAAATAAAATACAAAAAAGAAGAGGAGGTTTTAGATTTGGGAATGTATCTTAAGCAAAACATCATTATATTATATACCAAATAGTATAAATCAGCTGTGTTTATGGGTGGTAGCGGAGAAACCAGTTAAGTCATTAGTCAAAGTAAAGGTAAGTAAAATACGTTCACAAAGAATAACAAGAAAAATTTACATCTACACACACATTCTCACTTTCTATTTACACAAAGAAACACTTCTTGGATGAGACACTTTTTCCATGTGCTTTCTCATTTCTACCCTCAACTCGTTCCACAATACATTTCTATTTTCTTAACTAAACAAAATTGTCTTTCGTAAGTAGACAAATAAATATATACAAAAGGATTATTCTCTCTCCTATTTCGATTGACCATTAATTTTGACTTTCCCAATTGTATAAACCATAGTTTTGACTTTCTTTTCTTCATCTCCTTCCTCTTTTTCTGAACGATCTATTGATGTTATTGCTAAAATGGAGTCGTTATCGTTTGGCTATGTTATCCCTAGTCCTATCTTCATCACCAAGCTCTTCTCACCTCTGGTTCCATCTCCCAGCCATGGAGTGGACCAAATCTCGTTCGTCAAATGAAAATGGCATCTCTAAAGTCAAGAAGTCACCTTCGTCAAACTATCTGAGCTCCTCCGTGATTATTGAAGCAAAATCTGGTAAGTTCTACACTGACTGGACGGACCCTCTTTGACCGTGATTGTCATCAAAATCGGTGGCCAAACCCCTCTTCACACTACACCTTCAGCTTTCAGTTTTTATGGTATCAGTCATTGAAGCTTTCACTTGAAAATCTATAAAGACGTACACGAAAAGGTGTGAGAACTTATCTGAATTGTCATAAGGTAACTCTGATACAAAATCCCCAGATTCTTTTTTTTTCAAGAATAAAACCAAAATAAAATGGGATTGTGATTCTGATTTGTGATTCTGTTTTGCAATTCTGTTCCAAGCTTTAAAAAAAAACCCAGATTCTTCTTCTTCTTTCACACTATGAGTTTGTGATTATGTTTTCTGATGTGTCTATTAGAGATTTTATGGATGATGTAATCTCTTGTTTGTTGACTATTATAATTTCTTCTTCATAATTTTTGAAGTATTTATATAAGAGCCTTCTAATATAATCAGCCATCCTCTGTTTACTGAACACGTTATATTTTTGGTTGCTTGGATTTAGGATGTGTTTTCACTCAATGAAAACATAGAAGAAGAGACACAAGTTCATCTAAGTACACAAGAACACTGCAGCTGTTTTAATAGAAAAACAGAAACTAAAGCTCCATAATTGTGGTCATTGTTGAAGATAGAGAGGAGAATGAGTGTGCATGGACTCAGACAAAACAGAGCAAATGAAACCAGAGGTTTATAAACTGAAATCAACTTACAGGCTCGTGTTACTGATGAAGCTGAATTATTGTCAAAAGTTTCAGAAGGTTTAACTCATTCCAATTTTTGTGTTACAATTTTTAAAAGTTTTTCATCTTTCGCATCCATCCATGTCCACAGATTTTCCCAGTTCGAGCCTCCTATGAAGGAAGATGACACTCATGTAGTCAGTCAATACACTGGACAACATTACAGTCACAGCTCACCTGTCCACATCTCACCTGTCCGCAACCCACCCATCCGCAACCCACCCGTCCACAACCCACTTGTCCACAGCCTACCTGTCCACAGTTCCACCGTCCATAGTTCACCCATCCACAACGATTGGACCTTTTCCACAACTTTCAACAATCGCCCAACTAAACTTACAGAATTCTTAGTCAGAAAAGGTGGATAAAGAGCTGAGAAAGATAAGGACCAAAATTCATACATGTGTTGAAGATTAACCAAAAGATTGATTCAAGGATGGATGAGGCCACCACCAAGATGAAAGGAGAAATATAAGTCAAGCTCAATATAAGTCAAGCTCCTTGCTCACATGTAGTTAACATTATCCCTCACCACTGGTCTGATGTATAAACTTTGATGTCATCGTAGCAGTTTTGGAAGTTGTGGTATGGTTTTATCGGAAACTTGTCTGATTGGGTATACTAAATGGAAGACCTCTTTCCCCCCATGTGAAATGTGCATGTTACCTTTCTTAGATGAACTGTTTGTAGTTGTCTTTATATGGACCTTTTTGTAGTTGCATAGCAACAAATGTTCTCCTATTTATCCTTTTCAGTCATTGCTCTTCTATCATATTAAGAAAACTCATCTATTCCCTTTTGTAAGAACACGTAATTTGACATGTTTTGACGTCCAGCCATCCACAAATGCTAACACTTTGACATGTTTTGACATCATGTCCACACTTCCAGCCATCAACAAATACTAATATCTCACAACTAACGTAACTTACCAAGAAAAACATAAACTAAAAAGACTCTTAACACTAAACTTACGAAGAAAAACATAAACTAAAAAAACTCTATCACTAAACAGATTCCTACATTAGCGGATCAAGTGACCAAGATTAGTCCAATGAATCTGTTTTCAAATTACATAAACCACTCTTAAAAAAAATAAAAATAAACCATTCTTACAACCTTCACAATGTAGTTTTCTTTTAACGTGAACCATCAGATTAAATTCATATTTTATGATTGTGTGGTCCTTAATGTAGTACAATAGTCAAGACACCTAACATAATAAATGCAAACAAAGCTAACTAAACTAAAAATATTCTCTAACGAAAGACTCACCTCAGATTCGTTTCATTAAGGGTAAAAATGTCAACAAGTTCTCTTGGTCTCCGTGATTGTATGTCACAAGTGAGAAGTGGCCCTCAGTGCAAACTAAACTCAAAAAATGGCCTATTAAGTAATCAACTCGAATAACAATTACAAACA